CATGTTTCATGTCACCATGTTTAAGCTTATGTTTAAACACAAAAGTGAACGCGCATGGCGGAGACGCGGCGAAGCTGTTGTTTACAAGTTTACGTACAGAATCGTAAAGCAGATGTAGGCAGTAGGTAGAGCTAACAGAAAATCCGAGAATACAGAGAGCAACGTTTGGGCGAAGCGAAAGTAATTTTAGTATGCAATGATAATGATAGGGTTCAGTATACACTTGTGATATTTATTTCGTGACTCGATTCATTTGAATTTGAAATATATATACATAACTTAAGAAATGAAAAGCCAATAACAGGTTCTCATTAATAGAAATACACTAACATAATCTTTCGTCGTTTAAAGGACATAGCACAAATACGAGCAAAAAAAATGGAGTTTAATTTAAATGTACAACATGCATAAATTTAATAAGTGAAACGAACAATAATAACCACAAAAGAAAAGAAAAGCAGGGCCAATCGCACACACAGTTTTCTTAAAATAAATTAAATTACAACACAGAAAAAAACTCTGGACTTAATGATGCCTTGCCGATACATAGTATTAAACAAATCAAAATCATGCTTTTTGCATAAATTATTAAAATTATTACTAGACCGATATATGAAAGTAATTCTTCCATATTTAGTTGATGAAGCTGGTAGTAATGAAGTAGAGTAATGCATTCGTTCTTAGGTTCACTGTCGGCATTCTCAGTGATATTTGTGATAGCAAACCAGCAGTCAACATTTCCAGAACAGATTTTCATTAAAAATACAATGTCAGCAATCTCCCGACGCTTTATCAGAGGTAACAGTTTGTTACATACGCGACAAGTTGGTAGTTTATAGGTATGATAGCAAGGATATCGTATGAATTTACATTCGATCGTACATCGAATTCCAGATCTACGAAGCATATTCAAGCGTACTGCGGACGTAAGTACAGTAAAATATTATAATTGTTTTAAACTCCTTTGCAGTACGCATGACAAAATCTAACGCCTTGGATATCCTAGCTAGGATATTGTCAACATGAGTATTGCATAATAACTGAGAGTCGTGGAAAATCCCTAGAATCACTTACAAAAAATTCTTTTTGTAACTTTTGGCCTTTAAGGTGATGAAATGAATTAAGTTTCAATTTCGTGAATATGTAATAAGGGTACGTTTTAATGGGTTTAGATCAAGCTTATCGATATAACAGTATTCCTCCAATCTTAGTAGATCTTCCTGCAGTAATTTAGCATCAGCCTAAGATAAGATTGTGGAAAATATCATCAGCAAAATACAGTAGGTGTGATGTTTTAAAACAGGTTTTAATATCGTTAACAAATATTAGAAATAGCAACGGCCCCACCAAGGAGCCCTGTGGAACGCCACTCGGTATTGACACCCAACCTGATATATAATTATTAACGACTACAGCCTGCGAGTGATTGTCGATATAAGAGGAGAACCACCGCAGTAGGTTTTTTACCGCACTTTACAGCAACAATAGTCACGCGCGGGGGGGGGGGACTGAGGTGTTCGACGTCCCAATGTCATAGTTAACCACTTTTGTTCGGATTTACGCAGTATAAACTTATAGTGTCTTGAAGTCTTGCAGTTGTATGCTTGGTTTGGGATTTAATTTTATTAATTATAGGATCCCAAGTAGATAGTAGCACCCAGCCATATTTTCTATTGAATTTTTTTTTGATTTCAATACCCTCGCGAATCATCCTTGGAAGGAATCGGTGTTTTTAGCGAGGATTTGTGGTCTCAAATCAAATCTCAAGTCAAATGTTGTGACGGGGCGATCTTGTACGTGTTCGCGGACTGCAGACGCCGCAAATCCCAATTCAGGCACACAACCGCAAGACTTCAAGGTACTATAAGTACATACTGCGTAGGTCGGAATAAAAATTAATAATTTTAATCTTGAGGTAGCCGTGGTTAACTATGTCATTGGGACGTCGAACACCTCAGTCCCCCCCTCCGTGACCATGGTTGTTGTAAAGTGCTCAAAACGTCGGCAATAGAAAATGAGTTAATATACGCGATAAAATCTAAAAATAAAACTATTTTTATTTATTGAAATAATACTAGTTTTTACGGAATTTGTCGCGTATATTTAACTTTTTTAAATACCCGACGTTTCGAGAGCTTTACAGCACCCATAGTCACGGGAAGAACTGAGATGTTCAACGTCCAGATGTCATAGGTAACCGCGGTTACCATAAATAAAAAATTTTAATCTATGGTAACCGCGGTTACCTATGACTCTGGACGTTGAACATCTTTTTAATCTATGGTACCCGCGGTTACCTATGACATCTGGACATTGAACATCTCAGTCCTTCCCGTGACCATGGGTGCTGTAATATTTAAAAAACTTAAATATACGCGACAAATTCCGTAAACATTAGTATTATTTCAATGTGTAGTGTTCGCGTAAATATAAGAAATCATTAGTTTTATTTAAATGTGTAGTGTTCTCGTAAATATAAGAAATCATTACATATATCAGTCGATCGTCAACCAAGAAACGAGTTCATTGTGTCTCTATTTAACTCTAAGGCGGTGGTCCAAGTTAATTTTAATGCATAGTTTCATCATAATAAATATAATGATTTTATATTACGCGAAATTGCACATGATTAAAACTATTTTAGATTTAGGTTTATTTTTTTGCTTTTTTTATTATATATGGATAACAATAATTGTAGCGAATTTAAGTTAGAAGTAAATGTTTTCATGCATTTTCAAACTATATTTTTTTTTAAAATATTGATCGAAGTCGCGTCTTTTACATGCTTTGGAAGTTAATTGTTATAACTGTGCACCCCCAAATGTTGTTATTTTACCATAGTTGGTTCTTACTTCTTACGGTAGGTAACACGAAATTACTGAATCGGTGGGTTGTATATTTATTTACTTTTCTTTTTTTTTGTAAATGCTATGTGTGAGTGAATAAGTTTGAGTGTTTTTTATACATGTATTATAATATGTAAAAGGTTTCTTAATATTTAAGATTTTTGTATTTTGTAAATAATTTTTAAGGTGTTAAGAAGTCATAATTGTGCAATATTTCATATATTATGTTTAATTTTTGTTTATTTAATTAATTTGCATTGACTTTAAATTACTTTTACCTGCAGTACCCCAAAGTAAGTAATAATGTCCTCCAGACCGAATTTCGGTCACGGCGGCCAGTCTCAACGGAGATTAGCCATAGGCGCAGGACAGGATTATAGTGCCCAAGTGTGCAAGCACAGGTACACTCTCTATGTCCTCACCATCATAATCCGATGGGACGGTAAACCGAAACGATCGGAGAGAGATCGGGCGCAGGATCTACGGCTTTACGTGCTACGGCACGGGGGTGAGACACCACCAACTTCCTGACTCCGAGCAGCTGCTGAGAATTTCTAGACGGAAAAACTCAATTGATTTTCCCACTTCGAACCAGGGCCTCATGATCAGCAGTCGCACTACTACAACCACTAGACCAAAGAAGCAGTGTTAAGTAAGGATTTATTAAGCCAAGCGGTGCGCACTTTAGATCATACAATACCTACCTTACGTCGGCTCTGGTACGGGTCGAATTAGATCAGGTCGGATCAGAAGTACTGCCTTATGAAAAAACTATTTTTTCCTTTAAAACAAAACCAAAGACAATATGCAATAGATAATAGTATCAAAGACAAAGATATGCTCTTTTATTTTAAACCATAACCTGGCAATGTTTCTTAGAAAAAAAAAGAAATCACTCTGAACTTTCGGCGTTCCACGTGTCGCTTTGATGAAGGTGCTCCGTCTTTTTTATAGAATTTTATATTTGTGTCTGGACTAAAAACGAAAGTATTATACTTTTTTTATATTCCTTGTAATATAGTGAACACGTAGATATATAATTTGTGGTATAAAAAGTGAAAAGTAAATTGCCAAAAGTACTTCAAAATCTGGAAGGCCCATTTTGGCGGTTGGGTCATAAATGTGTTATTTTTCAAATTCTCATTTATTTTTAGTGTAAAATGTAAGTAAAAATAGTTTTCTTACATATTTCAAATAACTTGACGTTGTATTTATTTCAAATTCGCTTCTCAAATTCTAAATGTCACACAGATAAAATATTATTATTGTTTTTTTTTTAATTTTTTAATATTTTAATATTTTGGTATGAGTAAGGAATGAAAACATATAAAACATAAAAATATACATATTTCTAAACATTTTCATATAAATTTCTCCAAAAACAAAAGTGTAGAATTCAAATTAGTAGTAATTTTGTCACTAAAATTGAAGTATATACTACTACTATGCTATACAGGATAATTTACGTATTTTATTACAATTTCTAGCAACCAAAAATAATTTTATTCGATAGTTTATACATTCAACAAGAATTCCTGTAAGTTTTATCCATAAATATTGTCTCAAGGTGAAAATATAGCAAAATTTGCAATATAGCAAAAAATTTTCTAACTTACAAATTCTCCCGCCATTAAGGTCCCGAGCGAACGGGAGTATAACATGTCGCGCGCTGTCAGAGCGTACCGGCGTGTTGTATATTAGAACTCGAGCATGAATCGGTATACATCGAACTATTTTATGCAGTTCACCCATAAGTGTGGAGAGTTTGTTGTGAATATAAGTGTGCTTTCCATATTATATTTTTGTCTAGTGTCAAGTCTAGATATTTTATAATTCACTTGTAATATCTTACCTTTAATGCTTAGTTTAGGATGATCAAATATTTTCCTATTTTTGTAATTAAATATTGTGTATGAAGTTTTGGAGGTATTCATTGTTAGTAAAGTGTATTGGAATCAACAATGAAGTATGTTTAGATCCTTTTGTGCGCGCATCGTTATTTCTTTGATATTGCTATGCTAACAAAATAAAATAAGCTTGTATAATTTACGTAGAAGTTAAGATTACCCTGCAGTCCTGCTTTGTGTATGTTGTTTACAGAAATCAGAAAAAGCAATGGGTCATGATTTGAGCCTTATGGTGTGTCAATGCTAGAGGCTTATGACTACTCTGGTAGGCTCAAATTTTCGCAATCTGATATCGATTATCCAAATAAGTCGAAGTTCACGGGCGAGCTGGCAGAATCTCGGGCTACCGAGGTGATGATCCGCGATGTTGACGAGCAAGCAATGAAGCAGCTTGTTGAGTTTTGTTACACAGCACATATAGTTCTCGAGGAGAGTAATTTACAGGCACTTTTGCCAGCGGCGTGCCTTCTACAGTTGCAAGAAATTCAAGATGTTTGTTGCGAGTTCATCAAGAGACAACTCACGTATAATTTCATACAACGGAATTTTCCTGAGGTGATGGAAAGTCTCTGGAATACTTCGAAGCGATAGAACTGCAAATTAAAGTGATCTTTGTGATTAATTATTAGTGTGTTTTAAGTTGTAATTGGTGTTCGGTAATTAAAGTGTTAATTTTGGTAATTCAATCGGTAGTTTTTATTGTCACAAACCCCAAGCTCGTAACAGTTGGTAATATTTTTTGTATACGTTTCCAGTAATGCCATTACGTTTCAGATTTTAAAGTAGTACGGAATATCTGAACGTGTTGAAAGCCTCTATAAGATCAACAAAAACACCTAAAGCTATTTTTTATCAATTTTGGTTTCGATGGCGGTTACTAAGTCAATAGTTGCATCAAGGGTGTTGGATTTGAGTCGGACCATATTGTTGGTCATACATAAAGTTAACTTTAGTTAGGTAGTTATCCAATCTCTTGTATATAATTTTTTCAAGAATTTTGGATTGTATTACATAATTTTAGCGATATAATATAAGCTTTCTGAGAAGACTCCTTTATTTAAAAGTTTGGTAAGGCAATCAGATTATGAAGTTTATAATTTTTAATACACCTATGTCTTTAGTACTCATATGTTTAATACCTGTGCTCGTATTTGAATCCAAGTCATCTATGATTTTAGATACTTCATTAGCAGCGCTTGGGAAAAATTGGGATAACTTACGGTGAACAGTTGTTCGGTTTAGGATAGGTAGACTATAATACCTCCTTTTATTACTCATATCATTAATCGTTCACTATTGACTAGGGATTTTCCTACACTTTATAGAAGAGCATTGGTTACTCCGCTGCAGAAAATAAATAACCCCAGTTCTTTCTCTAACTTTCGCCCAATTTTTCTCTTCTTTATTCTATTCTCCCTTTTTATCTAAAGTTCTTGGAGCTATTGTCCACAAACAAATTTCTAGTAACATTTTCAACACTAACTTTCTTAGCACATATCATCACACCTCTTCTGAAAGTTCCGAAGGATTTGCTCACTGAAAAGATGAACTCACAATTGACTGTGTTTGACGTAATAGATTTTTCTAAAGCTTTTAACGCTGCCGATAGTGATATTATCCGAGATATACTTTATTACCTGGGTTTCTCTTTGTCAGCGTGGGACTATTTCTCCTCATACCTGCGCGGTCGTCAGCAGGCAATTCGAGTAGGTAAGATCATCTCTGATTGATGCTCGTTGTATGCTGGCGTTCCTCAATGCGGAATTCTCTCTCCTCTCCTGTTCTCAGTTTTTATATATCCCACATTCGCTATTCGTACCATCTGTATGCTCATGACTTACAAATTTATGTTTAAGTTGAGATGGCATGTATTGATGATGTGAATAAGAAGCTAAACTGTAAACTTAACTGTGTTTATATTGGTATTAGGGTTAATCAATGAAAATGTCTGGTATCATATATCATAATCAAAATGTGTTGGTAGTTCTCGTAGATTGGCTTAAATTGATATAAAGGCGCTACCTCCAATAATTTTTGTCAAAGATTTTGGCTTAACTATAGACAACACCCTCAGTTGGCGACCGCATACATATGAAGTGAGCAAAAAGACTCGACAGACTGGATTGACTTCTTAATAATTGTATGCCATCAAAAACATAATTTGTAAAAAGTACCGTAAAAAGTTGTGAGATATATATAATACCAAATCGGTCAGTTTATTCAGTCCCTACTTAAGGTTTCCTCTGTTTTAAGTTATTACGTAATTAGCTAACTTATCTTATAGTGACCATACCAATATTAAAAATCTTTTATGTTTTAAATAAATAGATTGACTTAAGCCATCGCATGAATACCCAATGTATCCCACAAGTAATACATACGAGTATTATATTGAATTAGATTGGTTAATGCGATTGCTAAGTCAATATATTTATTTAAAACTTAAAAGATTTTTGATATTCCAGTTTGTAACAAATCATTGATATGTAGAAGAAACGTTGGTGATAGGGCGTTAATAGGCCTACAATCAAAGCGTGCACCGTCTACTACGATCTTGATGCTCCGATTAGCAAGAAAACTAGTGATCCAATCGCACAATTTCTCGGGAACCCCATAGAAAGGAAGCTTAGAAAGAAGCGCTTTGTGCCAGACCCGATCGAAGGCATTCGTTACGTGTATGTACATACTAACGGACAATGCCTCCCCCTTGGACTCTACTGCCTCTGCCCATCTATTGTAGTGCATTACCTAGAAGTTTTATATTTCATGCGCGAGTCCCGTGTGACTCTGCTGCGCAAGCGCGTTTAGCATAAGTTAGATTTTATAAGAAATGATTGTATTTGGGACTCAATAAACGACCGACGTACGGTGAAGACGTATCTTTTCTTTTCCCCACGCGTACCATGCCTCATGGCGACCATGCCAGGATGCTAACAAAGAAATTACCCACTAAGTGAAAAACCAGTGCAAAAAAAAAAAACCAAATTCGGAAGAAAGAAGAAAACCTTATAGAAGAAAGAAGAAAACCTTACAGAAGAATGAAGAAAACCATATAGAAGAAAGAAGCACAAATTCTGAAGAAAGAAAAAAGAAGCGCCCTATTTTGAAGAAAACAAAAAAAAACCAAGAAGAAACGCCAGAAATCTAAAGAGAAATAAAGGTACGAAATGGGAAAATCGCAGTCGAAAGAAGTAGTCATAGCACAAAACGCAAATGGTGCAGCATCCGCAAATACAAGCCTAGAAGACGCTCACACAAACCACATCATACAAACCCTCATGATTGTATCCGTGGTTATACTGGCTGCAGCAGTTATCTATTACCTGATGAAAAAATGCAGGAAGAGTGCCGTGAAAACTCTGAGGCGAGAACTCAACGCAATCTCGCTTGAAAACATCGCCCGCCCTACAACTAACTAGAAGATCTCAAGAGGCGTCCAGGGTAATACCCGGCCCAACATCAAGAGGTGTTCAGGGTAATACCCGGCCCGCTTCAAGAAGATGACCTCATGCAGCCACACATCCTGTTTGCAGTGCTGTTCCCGCTTGCTCGCGCCGCCCTAAAAATGGTTACATCCACAAACACCATCGTCCCGCCCTTGTAATTAGTATGTACGTGATATTTTAACAAGTAAGTGAAATTATAATTTTTAAGTGTTTTTACATAGTGTGTAAATAATAGTTTCCTTTTCCTTTACTGTTAGAAATTATATTTGTCGATTTTTTCAATGACACTAGCTGAACTAAATAATGTGTACAGTAGTTTAAAAGAAATTAGAGATTATCTAGTGAAAATCGGACCAAAACGTAGAGAGAGTTCCGATACAGCAAAAGAAAAAGTTAGTGAAGCGAAAAAATCTGTACAGTCGTTTGGAGTATATTTCGTCTAAAATCAAACTGAAAATAGAGAATTCTGAGATAAGTAGCGATGATTTTCAGGTTATTAATAGATGCATAGACGACATACATATCTTGTACAGTAATATTTTAAATTTAATGTCTCGTGAATCAGAAAGTTCCAATAACTCAGCCAGCATGGGCGCCTTTGATTTAAAAACGGCAATAGGCCTATTGCCAATAATGACAGGCCACGAAAATATTACTACTCAACTGATAGATAGTATTGTGATGTATAGTGATATGCTTAACAAAAATGGCAAAAAACAATTAATTGATTTCGTTTTGAAAACTAGACTGACCCCTAGCGCCAAGCTGAGGTTAAAATCTAGCTACGAGTCCGTGAGTAGTTTGGTTATAGATATGCGCACTCACTTAATTCAGAAGAAATCCGCGGTAGCGTTGCAATCGCAGCTTAATAGCGCAAGCCAAGGCCGTAGGTCTATTGATAAGTTCGGCTCTGAGTTAGAACAGTTGTTCGTCAACTTGACTATAGCACAGGCTGACGGTGATGACAAAAAATACGAAACACTTCGTCCTTTGAACGAGAAAATTGCGATTAAGCGTTTCGCAGACGGATTATCAGATTCGCGTTTGAGCATTATCATAGCCTCCCGACAATTCCAGTCTCTTCCAGAAGCGATTCAAACCGCGCTGGACGAGAGCACATCATCAGCTCGTAACGAGCATGTGTTGAACATTTACCGCAGTCGTGACAATCAGTTTAATAGAAATAAAAGAGGTCCTAATAACGCTCGCTCAAATTCTAATTATAACCATCAGAGAGCGCAAAGCGGATCGAATTCCAGGACATTTTACAGGGGTAACTCTCGAGGGCTCAATCGTGGTAGGTACCAACGGGGTACTTCGCGAGGCCGAGGTCGGTACAACCCATCTCGCCCAAATGTAAACGCCCGCGTTTCTCAGATACAATCGGAGCACATTGAGAGCGTGGAACGCACTCAATCTGCACCGAATAGTGAGTTTTTTCGCCCCTACAATTAGTGATCATTTCGTTTGTAATTATAGCATAAACAATGTAGTAGATTTAAATGTAAGTAATAATAGCAAGGTAAGTCTTTTAGTAGATACGGGCGCGAGCATTTGTGTTATGAAATATGAGTGGCTCCTCGATAACCAGGAGTATTTGAATGAGTTACATTATGATAAAATAACAATTAAGGGCGTTAGTGGTAAATTAATTTCAGACGGTTATATTTACTTAGATTTAGTTTGTAATGGCATAACTTTTAGAGAGAAATTTTACGTTTTTAAGAATCTCTCTTGTTTTGCTAACGGTATATTGGGCGATAATTTTTTTAAGCGTTATAATGCGATAATCAACTACGAAACACGAACCTTACAGTTATCGAATCAGGGTTCCGTAGTTTGTCTTAATATGGGTAGATGGAGTGATAGGTATAGACACGTCATACCCGCCCGTTGCGAAGTTTTCAAACATATTCCTTGCACTTTAAGCGAAGATAGCGTTATTTTAGCTCAAGAAATTGAGGAAGGGATTTTTATCGCAGGAATGTTAGCTAAACCATTAAATAAAAGTATTCCTATTAGAGTGTTGAATACGAGAAATGAGGATATTGAGATAGATTTTTCAAAGGTCAATGTCCATTCCATTAGTAACTTCGAGGTATGCCACCTCGAAAGCGAAGAAAAAACTGTTGAGCGAATAAAAAC